ATTTACTCATTTTCTTTTGTTTCTTTTACTTTCCTAGAGAGCTAAACCCAGTTTTGGTTCTCAGCTTTGAGATACAAATGTGACGTCAGCTGTCCTGAAAGCAGGGGAGGAAGTGATGTTTGCTGTCCAGATGGGAAGCCCTAGCCAGAATGTGAGTGACATTCAGTGTATCACTAAAGCAGCATGAAATAAAAGAATTTATAAATGTAAGTGGCTGTCTATCAAAAGTGACCTGAAATTTAATGAAGTTTCAATAAAATTTATCAACATTCTACTCAGAAATTGAAATAAAAGCCATTCAACATACATAAAAGCATGAAGACAATTGGGAGGTGTAACACTGCGCGGTTTCATATACTACTGAGTACAGTAATCAGAACAGCAGGACACCACCACAGAGCAGACATGCAGAGCAGTGCAGAGGAACAGCTGGCAGAGAAATAAATACACACAGCTACACCGCACCAGACTTACACTGAACTACAGTAACACACAATGTAGGGAGGCAACTCTGTCTAGGAGAGTTAAATCAGGCCTTTATCTGCCACTCTGTACAACAATCCAATCAAAATGATAAAGACTTGAACATGGTGCCAAAACAATAAAGTTGATGAGGAAAATAAAAAAAAAAAACCCACTTCATTCTATCTATAGGCAAGAATTTTTAGAAAGGCACTCAATAGCCCACAAAAACAGCAAGAAGTAAGACATGGAAAATGGACAAAAACTTGTGCAAAATCTCTGCATATCAAAGGGACAGTGGCCTAACTGAATAACTGGCCCACAGGGAGGAAGGAAAGGCATCCCCACTACTCACCTTGTCAGGCATTAGATACTAGAAAGGATAAATATCTTTATAAGTGCCCAAACAATACACAATCCCATTAATTTCCCGGCATGTGAAGGAAGAGTTCTCAAAATAGCCCAGGGAAGGCAACACTCCTTACATCAATTTCTAATTAAGAAAACACCCCCATAGGCTTGTATATAACTCCAGCATGTGGAAGAATTTCCTTAACTGAGGTTTCCTCTTCTCAAATGGCTTCACTTTCTCTCACATTGGCATAAGACTAGCCAGCACGCCTGAGTCCTTGCCTACTTGACATATAAACACAGTGATGTTAAGGCCCAACCTTTCCTTGTGTATTCTAACAATCACACTAATATCAATTTCACAATAAAAAAAATTCCAAGTTTTAAGAGTGACCTAATGTAGTGACTGACCTGGGAAACTATGCTTATGAGTACAATAGTGTCCTGAACATTGAGGGAGTAATCAACAACATTCTAATGGGATTTCTGGCCTCTACAAAAAAGGAATCTCATGCCTTGTATTGGAAATGTGGTCAAAACCCATGACTGTGGAGATCAGAGACCCTATTGCTGTCATTTTGCTATAAGGAACACAGCATCAGAGACCCTTATGCATACTTACTTTTACATAGTCCAAAACACACTCCCGTTCAAAGAAACTTCCTTCTGCAGCAGACAGGATTTCATACTCATACTCACAGCTAATCAAAGTACAGAGCATACGTGACTACAGAGTGCTCACCCCTAAAGGGGATGTCGATATCACACCTCCTTCCCTAACCAAGGTTCAAGGAACACTGCAGAAGAACTGATATCATAAAGTCAGGAGTTGCAGAAGATCCCTACAAAATATCTTCTGGGCATGACAGGATCATTGTAGTCATGAACTTAAATCAACTCTGATTGTTTGCAAGAGATCTATCTCCACAAGACATGTCAGTCTATCTCATGGACTATTCCTCCACACTGACTATGTCATTATGACTGTGTTACTAATAAATCTGATTGACCACTGGCTGGACAGGTAGAGGTTAGGCAGGACTTGCAAACAAAAAGAGAGTATGAAGAAGATGAGGGGAAATCTCAGGATTCACAAAGAGATGCAAGGGAAGCAGTAGATGAACTTGTCATACTGAGAAAAGGTACCAAGTCACATGGCAGAGCACAGATAAGAAATATGGGTTAACTTAAAATGTAAGAGTTGGCTAATAATAAGCCTGAGCTATGGGCCAATCATTGATACTTAACAATAAGTTTCTATGTGGTTATTTGTGAACTGACTGATGGGACAGAAAAAGTCTGCCTTATATGGCACCCACAGTTGGGCAATGTAGAGCCATATGAGACCTGAGAAAACTTTAAAAAAGGCAAAAATGGAATTAAATGTGGCTTCTTGATAACTGCTTTTGCTTGGTTAGTCTCAATGCTAACAGTAAAGAGAGGCATGACTCCTTTAAGAGGTGGCTTCATGGCTCAATGCTAGAAGCTCCTTTAAGAGGTCCTGCTACCCAACACTTAAATGGAGTTTATAAGCACAGGCAGCAACATCGACTCAACAACTTTCCAGAGTTGGAACAGTAAATGTGGCTCCCACCAGTACCTCCACAATAATGCTAGGTTCTCAGGGAATCAAAGGGGAGGGGTGCATCAGCTACCAATGTCATGTGCCAATGCATGTGTTAAACTGAGCCATGTGGGTAACTAAAATAGCAGTTTAAAATTTGTTTTGTGTGATCAAATAACAATACAGATGCTCAGTAAAGGCAGATCAAGAGCAAAAAGGAAGGAAGAAAGGAAGGAAGAAAGGAAGAAAGAAAGAAAGAAAGAAAGAAATCTATAAATGTGTTACAGTATGTTTAAAAATAGATGGGAGAGAAAAGAGAAAAGCTATATATATAGTCACAAATTTAAAATAGTTTAAAATAATAAAGTCCTTAAAAGCAATTAAAGTAAAATTAAAAATTCTAATAAACCACATAAATATGGGAAATCTGAAGACTGTACATTATTGTGTTGTCTTTAATTTTTTGCTTGCTAATAAAAGAGCTACTAAGAGACATTTGATTATGAAAGTTCCTGGATTAAATCAAAAAAATCTTAACTTTAAAATATAAGTCAAAAGTTATATTGTTTGGGAGGAGAGATTATGCTTTTATTTCCACAGGAAACGAGAGGCTATGGATTCATTCCAGGTTGATAAGGATCAGGTTCAATTCAGGGAAGGCCCCCTGAAAATCCTGGCTACAGACATGAAAACATAAACCTAGAGAAAGTACAAAACATGTGATGTATGTTTTACTTGCTCAAACATAAATTTAAAAAAAAACTTCTGTTAACTTGTATACAGCACAGTCTGTACTTTTATTAATATAGACATGTATGCTACCTCTAAAGTTTATGCATTTTCAGAACAAGGGGATAAGACACCAAAAGAACAGGTGTCCCAGGTGATCTGGCATCTCAAAATGCCTCTCTTAAAGACTCTTCAGAATTCTGCATCCAGACCAGCTTCAAGACTGCTGCTGAGATGGTCCAGCCTCACAGAATACTCAAACCAAGACTTATCCACTATCCTTACTTTTTCAAGATTATCCCAAAGATGCCAGCACCCTCAGAAAACAGGAATCCATCTAGAAAAAAAATGCCCACATTCCCAAAAGATGGGTTTCATTTAAGTGAAAGGGGCTTGGTTATATGTTGTTATTAACCATAGTCAGAAAAAAAAAACTCAACAAAGGAGTTTAATTCAAAGATTTCTTTCTAAAGGAAAAAATAGAGGTTTGATATAGAAATGATGAGATAAAAGGTTAGATTTTTGAATCTACATTAATCAAAAAAACAGGTGTTAATCTTAAAATATTTTACATTGACATGGATTTTGATTTATTGATGCAAATTTAAATATTTGATTTATTGATACAAATTTGTTATACTATATGCATGTTTCTACTCATGTGTGGGATATGTGTTTATGCAGTTTATTTAAAAATATAATGAATAATTAAAATACAAGTTAGTAGTTAGTCATCTATAATAATCAAATTTGTAGTCGTACTAGGTATGTTGTCAAGGTTAAATAGATATACTTAGATAGATGGTTTTCAAACATTTCAAAAATCTACATAATATAACATTTAATATGTAAGAACTACAGCCTTAACTGAAAAAAAGTCTGACAGAGTCATTAACAGACTCTCAAACTAGCCTTTGAAATTTTTACACTGGGACTACTGTCTGCATTGCTCTCAACGTTCTTATTTTCCAGGATCCCTTGGAACAGATCACCAAGCTATGAACACTCAATGGCGTTTGTAGCCCAATGTTTGGAAATCTTTCCGCAGTCCTCCCCAAAGTACTTGATCAAATCTGTCACAGAAATACCCCCACCCCGATCCTGGTACAACTTTCTGTCTTAGGTAAGGTTACTATTGTTCTGATGAAACACCGTGACCAAAGCAACTTGGATGGGGAAAGGTGTTTTTGACTTACACTTACACGTCACTGTTCATCATCAAAGGAGGTCAGAACAAAAAATCAAATGGGACAGGAACTGAGAGCAGGCACTGATGCAGAGGCCATGGAAGGGCGCTGATTTCTGACTTGTTCATCATGGATTGTTCAGTCTGCTTTTTTGTAGAGCTAAAACCATCAGTTCGAAGATGCCATCTCCCAAAATGGTCCAGGAACTATCACTGAAGCATTAATTAAGAAAATGCCCTACAGGCATGCCTGCAGACCCATTGCATGGAGGTATTTCTTTTTGAGGTCCCCTCCATTCAGATAACTTTAGCTTCTATCTAGTAGACATAAAACTGACTAGAACACAATGTACCCTACAAATGTATGGAGTTGTTATGTTGGAATAAGTCATTTTAATGAAATTTATAATATTGAAAGTATATAATAAAGGACAGACTGAAAATTAATATAACATTTAATGACATAGAAAAATAATTTTATCTCATATAAGGAAAATTTTAAATTAATGAATATGTAAAATTCCACATGTATTATAACTTAAATTTTATAGTTAAATAAATAAATATTTATATAAATAAATACAAATAAGTGGACAAATCTAGAAGCTAATGTATCTACACTCTACACAGTCTTCTTCACAACTGATGAAATGTCCAGGAAAGGTGGCTGAAGGATGTCAAAATGTGAGAACATTGAGGAAGCAGAATTGGTGAGGTGAGGTTCAGTGTCCAAGTCCAGGAGAGTCCTCTCCACTTTGGCTCAAGACTTACTCCTCTTCACTCAATCTTGTCAACAATTTGGCTGAGGAAGACAGGGCTCTCCAGACTTCTGCTCTCACCACCTCCCAGGCACAGGGGTTGTGTTTCTTCTCTCTCAGGTAGGCAGTGATCCTGTGGAAGTATTTCCTCACAGCCACCAAGGAGTCTTCCTGGCTCAGGGGAGGTTCCTGCACCCCGACCTGCTGCATCAGACAGGCCTGCAGGTCCTTGAGCTGCTGGTGGAGGCCAGTGCAGAATGTGTCTAGGAGGGTTGTCTCCCAAGCAGCAGATGAGTCCTTTGAGCTGAAGAGGATGAGGACCTGCTGGGTCAGCTCCTGCAGGACAGGGATGGCTTGAGCCCTCTGGATCTGCTGGGCATCCACCTTCTCCAGAGGGAAAGCAAAGTCCTTTCTGTCCTTCAGGCAGGAGAGAGGGGAGAGTCTCCTCATTTGTGCCAGGAGTGTCAAGGCTCCCTTGTTCCTGAGGTTATGAGTCTGAGGCAGGTCACATCCCAGAGAGCAGGTTGACCAGTAGCTCATCAGCACCAGGGCCATCAGGACAGCATAGGGCCTGGCCATTGTGGATATGTGGATGCTGCTGGTCCTCTGGGCTGTGTGGTCCTGAACTTTCCCCTCTAGATTCTCTGTAGATCATCATTTGTGTATGTGTCTTAAATAGAGAAACACTAGCTTCCATTTTCTGAAGGCCTCCCCTTGTTTCCCAATTTTATTTTCACTTTCTCCCATTCATTTTCTGCTGGTGTTGGGATTTTTTTAACCATTTTTGTTTTCATTATTGTGTCAACTTTCCTTGTTCCCTCAACAAAGCCATTTTAACTGTTTTCTAAATAAATTTCTTTTCCTTTTACGGTACACACATAACCTCAAATGTATGAAATTTGCTCATCTAATGTAAAGATGAAAAAATTTTCTTGACAAAGTGTACATAGAAGCTATTGAATGGCTCAGCCACCCACATCCGCCCACATCCAAGGAGCACATGCTTGAGTACCTGATTGGTTTCCTAGCACTGACGCCAAAAAAAAAAAAGAAAAAAGAAAAAAAAAACAATGATAGCAAGCACATGCCTGTCATCCAGACACTTGGGAAGGGACAAAGCCAGGTCCCTAGAGTTCCAAGGCCATCCAATCTACCTGCAATGTCTAGTCCTAGTTTAAGTGAGAGAACCTGTCCCAGAAAACTAGGTAGAAAATGAGTCAGTTAGGAACTAGACATTGACATTTTACATTTTACATTGACATCAATCTGCAATCTGCATGAACGTACACATGCAAATGCAAACACACAAATATGTGTATATCCCACAACCACACACAAACACAATAATGAATAATGGTAAATTAAATGAAGAAAATACAAGTTGAGACAGTGTGCTTGATCAAGTTTTTATTATTAACATTTGGGAGGCAGAGAAAGGGCATTATTTATATAGGAAGACAAATTATTTATATAAGAAGATAAGTTTCAGGACAGTCAGAGCTTTATAGAGAAACTGATTATAATAATAATAAAATAGAACTCAAGTATACTTAGGAAATGTAAAGGGAAGTTATTATATATTAATATCTAAATCTTATTGATCAAAGATGGCAGGGGAAGCCAGTACATGTTGCCAAACTCCATGGAGGCTCAGAGACTCCTTGGATGCTCTGAGGGGTGACTCCACAGTGAACGGAGTCTGCATGGCCCGCAATAGCTTCAGAACAACTAAGAAAGAATAAGACAAGTCTTATGTGAAGATATTTTAAAATGCGGCCTTAAAAATTTGGAAAGAAAGATGATAGAACAGAGCCACATCTCAACCAGCAGGCTACAGGCACAAAAATCATTCCTACTGAGCCATAGGGCTGCTGGCATCAATGACAAGGAGATGTGACGCTCTTTGGAGCTCCTGCAGAACATTAGGTGAATAGGGTCTTTCCAGGCCAACTGACCAGCCCCTGGCATGGAACCACTGTGTCTGTGTCCAGTCTTGCTTGCCCTGCTGGGAAACAGAGGGATCAGGGCAGCAGTGCTGCTTATAGACTACAATCGCAGCGGCCATACCTGGAGACACAGAGGTGTGCAATGACCTCGGGCTCCCATGGAAATATGTCATAACTGAATAGGATTGTTCCTAGACCAGCACACCAGAGCCAGCATGGATCTTCTGCAGCCAAGATTTGGGCTTCTTACCTTTCTAGGAGACAGAAAGTAGGGGAGGCAGCAGTGCTGTCTGCAGGCTACAAGCACAAAGGTCGAGCGTGGCACAACTTGGGTTGGCAGACATAGAGGGTAGGGAGGTGTGCTGCAGCCAGGAGCTGGCACAGAACCTGCTTGCAGGATGCCGTACATAGCTGCAATATCAACCTTACTCTGGACAACAGAAGGATGTCTAATGGCAATGGTCCTGTACTTATGGTTCTTCAGAATCCAAAAACAAACCAGATCAATGATTTGTTACAATGAATACTTGCATGCAAGCCTGTCTGGGCCAAATGTATGCCTGTAATGTGACACACTGCAGTTTCTGATGCTGCAGTGGGGAAGGAATAATCAATGGATGCTTGGGAAAGATCGAAGAAGGGAGTGGTGAGCGAGAGAGTGATGGAGAGAGACAGAGCAAGAGCCTCTGTGGCTGTGACAGCTTGTGACAGGTTTCATCGAAGGCTGTGGTGTATGGGGATCATGTGGTTTTCAAGCAGGGACAAGAAGGTGGTGTGCAGTAGACTGGAGCTTCCATTACAACTCTTCCTCCAAGCACGCTGCCCAGCAACAAGATCACCCTGGTGCTGTGTGCAATGAGATGATATCCAAGATGAAGAATGTTCATCTTCTGGATTAGACATTCTCAAAAGATCTCTATAGTTCATATGGGTGTCCATGGTTCTCCTGCAGGCAGGAGTCATGTTGACGTCCTTGGCTCAAGTTACCAGCAAAGGCCATGCAGAAGTCCTTGATCAGTGCTGCAGCCTGAAGCTGTATTGATGTCTGGGGACCATGCTGACATTGGGAGCCACACTGATGTGAGTGGCCTGTGCTGTCACCTGAGACCATACTGACGGCCAGGTCCATGCTGCCTGCTGCCAAGAGCCTTGTACTGTCTGTGATCCTACTGTCACTGGCGTCTGTGTCCATGACATGTCTTACCACCAGTGGCTATGCAGATGTCTATGGTCTGGCTTGAAGCCTGAACCCATGTTGATGTCCTCAGGCTGTGTTGCCACCAAAGCTCATGTTGATATGAGTGACCTGCTCTGCCACCTAAGGCTATATTGATGCCTTTGGCATGTGTTGCTGATGTGGGATTCCCCTCTGTATGCTGTGAATACCATTGGTTAATAAAGGAGCGGCTTTGGGTCTATTGCAGCAAGGTGGGAATTCCAAGCAGATAAAGGAGGAGAAAGTAGGCAGAGTTAAGGAGAAGCCATGTAGCCGTGGCAGGAGACAGACACTGGATGCTAGACAGAACCTTACTGGTAGGCCACAACCACATGGCAATGCACAGATTAATATAAATGGGTTAATTTAAGATGTAAGAGTTATCCAATAAGAAGCTTGAGCTAAAAGGCCAAGTAGTGTTGTAATAATACAGTTTCGGTGTGATTATTTCAGGTCTGGGCGACTGGGAAACGAACAAGCAGTCTCCGGCAACATGCTGCCATCATGGGCTGTGATGGAGTCTGTGACCCTTCAACACAGACCAGAGTTGATATCCCTGATCTGTATTGGCACTGGAGACCATGCTGAGGCCTGTCACATGTGCTGACCCTGGAGACCATGTGGATGTATATCTATACGATCACCACGAACCATGTTTAAGTCCATGACCTATGCCCTGATGACTATAAAGGGCGAGGAAGCTACTTTTGCCGTAGTATTGATGACTGCAGAGTCACAGTTGAGGTGTCACCTCGGTGACAACCCCTATACCCAACCCCCTCCAAGGAAAAGTAACAGCCTAGACAGAAAGTCATTGAGGAGAACTCTTAAAAATTGTTTTAAGGATACTGACGTGAAAATCTTCAAAATCAATGGCTTCTGGCAGAGGTGCAGGTGGGAACGACTCAGCTTTCTTTATAAAGGCTTGCCCACTAGGAGATTTGCCATGCTCCAGTAAGTACGTGAGCAGCACAAAGATTTGTGGTTTTGGCTTTTTACTTCTTTTTCTTCGGTGGTGGGGGAGATCCCAAGGACAGAAGAGTAGACCTGGAAGGAATGGGAAGTGAGTGTGCTTGGGGTTAATGTTGTGAAACTCCCAAATAATCAATAAAAATATTATGTAAATATATATATATATATAATCTAACAGATATTGTACATTAAAAAGTACTGGAAATAAATAAAAACATGAATAACATTTAAGTCCTGCCCTCTCTGCAGACAGCTGTTTTTTTAGATAAGCACTTTTAACTTTCACAAGCATCACATGGCTCAGCTACCCACTCTCTATTCCTAAAGCAAATGTGGTTAAGGAGGAGCCAGAGTCTTTTCAAAGAGACCAAAGATTCATGGAAACCTTTGAGATGACAGAACAGTCAGAAAGAATATTGCAAATGCTTTCATTTTTGAAAATTTTGTCCGTAGTTTTTCTTCCTTTTTCTTTTTTGTTTCCTCTTCTTTTTATTTTATTTATTTTTGTGGGGAGTGGCTCATTTGTGTGTCTTCTCTGTGGCCTGAAAACATACGACTCAGGTGCTAAGTTTGAAATAAAGTGTCAATTTTCCCAGTAAACCTCAGATATATGAAATGTCTTAGTTCGGATGTCTATTGCTGTGAAGAGTCACCATGACCACTATAGCTTTTACAAAGAAAATAATTAATTGGGGTGGTTTGCTTACAGTTTAAGAGGTTCAGTCCATAATTATCATGACAGGGAGCATGGCGGCATGCAGGCATATGTGGTGATGGGGGAGTATCTGAGAGTCCTACATCTTGCAGGCAACAAGAGATCGCCTGGGACACTGGGTGGTATCCTGAGTATTGGAAACCTCAAAGCTCACCCCACAGTGACACACTTCCTCCAACAAAGCCACACCCCTAATAGTGTCACTCCCTTTGAGATTATGGGGGCAATTGCATTCAAACTACCACACCAAATATAAATAGAAAATATAATCCAATGAGAAGGATCTGTATTAGAACATCAAAGTGCATACATATGTGTGAGTATACACAGAGTCACCAGACTTGTTTCACATCCAAACACTGCTCTTTTGGGAAAAAATTCTTGGCGTTAATCTTCACCCCGCAGTTTCCCTTGCTTCCTTTCAATGTGAAATTATACTCTCTCGGCTCTCTGAGTTTCCTTTACTGTGTAGAGACTGGGCAGAGCCTCACAGCACAGAGACTCTTCAGTTCCCACAGGCTTATATGCTTAAGGGCTTCGTTCCACTTTGTGCATCTGTTTGGAAAGAGTTGAGCGTGTGGACTTGTTGGAGCAGGTGTGCCATTGGGGGTGGGCTTTGAAGCTTCAGTTGCCCAGCCAGGACCAGCCTCTTGGGGTCACCTGCTATCTGAAGATCAGGACATAGGCTTTCCAGTTACGGCTCCAGCGCCATGCCTGTCTTCTTCCCACCGTAATGGTCACAGACGCTACTATCTTCTGGAATAGTGAGCGTCAAATTAGATGCCTTCTTT